ATCCAGGACGATGAGTAGTCTGGCTAGTAAAATATAAACTCTACTAGTTGCGAAATGTTGACTCTCATGAGCACGTAAAACAAAACTGTTTTAACTCATTTCATCTTCTTTGATCAACTTATTCTGGGTTATTCAAAGATATATAGTTATATTATATGTTATTCTAATCTAACCTTCATCCGGTTGTTAGTCACATTTTAGGAATCTTTCAGTAATGACCGAACGCAGTAAAGTATTGACTTCTAACAAAGGCGCTGTGACAGTTGCCTATAGAAAAAGTGATTCATAAAAGCTAACATATTAATAATGCTTTTGGGTCGTGAGACGTTCCGATATTCTAAATACCAAGTCAGAATCGAACTTATTATTAATATCTTGCAAAGCCAGCAGGTTTGTCTATATACAATCAGAATGTCTTGCAATATAAAATGGAGCGTCTATTTCAAATAAGAAGTGTCCACCATAATAACGTTTGAAGGATTAAAATGTCAGATTAAAAATAAATCCATTAATTCTTATATATATATATATATATACACCACGACGGTATCATATCTCGGAGTTTCATGCAAACATGCAATCTTCATAACACTTTAATGGTCAGTAAGTTTTTTGCACCTTAAGATTGCATGTTTGCATGAAACTCGAGTCAAATATCGACGTGGGATACTATGTATATTCACTAATATATACTTAATAGTTCTGTTATATAACATTGAGTACTGTGTTTATAAAACCTAATATAATATATATATATATATATATATATATATATATATATATATATATATTTCAACCCAAGCAAGTCAGTAAAGCACTTGAAACACAAGGAATTACTGTGTGTGGAAGAATTAGAAAGCGCAAACATTGCTAAGGAGCGGGAGCAATCAGCAGGACAGCAGAAAGCGATTAACAAGTCATTTAATTTTTTACGGATTAAAGTTGGCTGGAAAACATGTAACCTGGAAGAGCGTTCCACAAGCAAGAAGTGCAAGAAAAAAATGTTAGCATACAACTTAGGGTTACATCTAGCAAACTCTCTCACTCACTCTCTCTCTCTGTCTTTCTTTCTCTCTCTCTCTACACATATATATATATATATATATTACTGATACTGATATCATATGATATAGTAACAAAAATGATATTTATTAAGCACGAAAGAGGAATAGATTGGGGCTCGAAATCTTTTTCAATAGTAATATTCAGTTCGCTATCCATTTTCCTCACTTAAAAAGCAACCTTATTTTAACACAGGGCCAAAAGAATGTAGCGCCTAGTGAGGCCCGTAATAATGAACAATCAGACTAGCTCGCGGACCATTACAGATGATACGTCCTTACACATATTAAATACGGAACTTGCCAGCAGCAGAGAGGAAAGAACATTCGCGCCTGTATTTATGTCTAAACTGACCGTCATTCCACACTGAGGTGTCATTAGATTATTGACAACATTTATAAAGAAGCTGAAAATATCGCACAAAATTGTTAGTACATCATGTGATATCGCTCGCGACCAATATATATATATATAAGTGTGTGTGTGTATATGCGCGTGTGTATATATATGTATATATGTATATATATATATGTATAATATATATGTATGTGTGTGCATATATATGAGTGTATGTGTATATATGTATAATATATATATGTATGTGTACAGATATATATGTGTGTGTATATATATATATATATATGTGTGTGTGTGTGTATATATATATGTGTGTGTGTGTATAAATATGTGTATATGTATATATATGTGTGTGTATGTGTCTTTATATGTGTATATATGTGTGTGTGTATGTGTCTTTATATGTATATATATGTGTGTGCGTATGTGTCTTTATATGTATATATATATGTGTGTGCGTATGTGTCTTTATATGTATATATATGTGTGTGTATGTGTCTTTATATGTATATATATATATATGTGTGTGTGTATGTGTCTTTATATGTATATATGTGTGTGTGTGTGTCTTTATATATATATATATATGTGTGTGTGTGTGTGTATATGTGTCTTTATATGTATATATGTGTTTTTATGTAAATATATGTGTATGTGTCTTTATATGTATATATGTATGTCTTTATATATATATATGTGTGTGTGTGTGTGTGTGTGTATGTGTCTTTATATGTATATATTTGTGTATATGTGTATTTATATGTATATATATTTGTGTATTTATATGTATATATATATATATATATATATATATATATGTGTGTGTGTATATGTGTATTTATTTGTGTGTTTGTATGTATATATATATATATATATGTCTGTATATGTGTATTTATATGTATATATGTGTGTGTATATATAAATTAATCAAAAGTCGGATACAAAAGTACCGTTTCGTTGTCGTTGGATAGTCTTACCCACATAGTCGACCTCACGCTGACACTTAAAACGATAAATAACGTTGTTGATTGGTAGCAAGACATCTTTACGGGCAAATAGGAAATCACTCCTAGTAACAAAGATGTTCCGTATTAATACAGAATTGAAGTAGTGCATAACAGTTGATGAAATCTTAGCGCATGATTGACTACAAGAGCCAATCTAAGGTAATCTCATGTAGACAGGATACTTAGGTGGACCTAATGTTTTAATTTCATTAAGCTTGGAAATTTTAAGTCACATGTTTGTTTTGATGACATCTTCCGGATAGCCGTTGGCGATAAAGATATTGTTAATTTCCCTACATTCGGCATCAAGTTTGCACTCCGAACATATCATAAATGCACGATGAGTGAGTGTTTTGACAAGGTTAATTTTCCTAGACATAGGAACGAAAGAGTCCCAACTGATATACAACCCTGTATAAGTGGGTTTCCTATATACGCTGGTGAGCAAAGTTGTGGGAGTTTTCTCAACCAGCACGCCCAGGAAAGGTAACATATTATTACTCTCCACCTACATCATAAATTGTAGAGAAGGGTGGAGACTATTTAGATGTTGAAAAAAAAACTATCTGTCTCGTTATGTGATGAAAATGTGTAAAAGTATCATCAATATAACGGAAATAGCAGTATGGTTTAGGAACCTTATCAAAGAATTACCTCTCATGAACACCTACAAAAATAATGACCATGAGAGGTACCAAAGAACTACCCATTGCTACCCCATCAATCTGTTGATACATGTTATTATCAAAACTATCTCCATCAGCTCGACAAAGACACTCTCATGAAAAGATGGAGGCTTAAAGGAGCCACAATACAAATAGTCAGCACAAATATCAATAGTCTCGTCAAGAGGGACATTCGGGAACCTACTACAAATATCAAAAGACAAGAGAAACTCAGTACGTTGCAATTTACGTATATCTCACGCAAACTGGAACGAGTCTGAAATACAATAGTGAGAATAAAAAATGCAAAACAGGATCAAAAACTTCAACCAACCACTTAGCTAACTCATGTTGGCAGAGCCCACCAGAGACAAAATTAGCCGAAGTGGAACATTCATTTTATGAATTTTCGGCAAATCATACATCCTAGGACGCTTGGAGCGAACAGGTCGAATTCTCTCATTTACCTGTTTTGAGAGGAACACGCTTTTATGAATTCAAGCAGAGTCTCTTCTGAAATTTAACTTCTGTTTTCGCGGTGACATCAAATGATGTATCACCAAATTTCCGAAATTTGCTAGTGTCGTCCAATATAGACAACATTTTATTTATAGGATCGGAATAATTCAGAATCACACCATCAGATCCTTTATCAGGTCTGGTTATATAAATATCTGACCCCGATTTTAACAATCTGGCCATCTGATAGTGTTTCTGCTACGAAAGGAACGTCTTAGAATCTGAGATAATAGTTTACCATGAAACAGTCTGTCGCCTCTGCGTGTTGACTTCAATGTCCACTTTTATATATATATATATATATATATATATATAATTAAATGTCTGTGTATTCATATGGGGTGGAATACTGTATTTTTATTCATTAATCCGGCAGATTTATTTTATTCATTAATCCGGCAGATTTATTTTACTTTAAACGTTATTTTTAGTGGATACACATGTTTGAGTAGACGCTCTGTTTATTTTATTTAAACTATATTTTTTTTTATTTCCGTCTCTCGCCAGAATATTCATTAAATGCTGGAGAGCGCCTCTTTTCCTGGACGAAAATGAAATAGAGGTGCGTGTTATATGGTGGAACTCTGGTATATACTACGAAAATTCCCTTCGTTTCAAACTCGACCGAAGGCAATTACTGAGAACTATCTCATTTTAACTAAGAAAAACAATGGCGTAACAATCTTTTTATCCGCTTTGTGTGACAGACGACATTGATTCTGTAAAACTTATAAAATGTGACAAAAGGGACTTTGAAGAGTTTAGAGGTGTTGGTCTAACATTGATTATCTGAGCTTATTCGTAACCCACGACGTGTCCAGCATTATTCCGTCGATTAAATTCTTTCTATGTCACTATAATACGGTCAGGGTCCTAAATTACAGACGAGAGCGAAGAAAACTGAAAATTATACAAAATTGAGGAGTTCGTAAATAAATGTTCTAGAGTGTATGTTCCGTATTGTCTTTTTTGGACTTCTTTTTTTATCTGCCATGTCACTTCAGCACGTTGGTGATCATGGCCCTCCACAATTTCCTGTCCTTTGGAGTTTTTAATAAATTTTGTCCTTTTTTTTTTTCTATATTTCCCAAACCCTGCTCAGCCATCCATTCACTCGAATTTTCCAGGTAGTTTATGCGTTGCTTTCTTCTGTCTCTCTTACCTTCAATCTGTCTTTTGAATATCAAATGTTCCAAGCTGTCAGAAGTATAAGGAAGGCGTACGGTTATATCACGTCATAGTTGGAGGGAGAGACGAGGTGGATTCATACCCTTTCCCAAGGGTATTTGAGCGTAAGTGGATATAACGAACCCGAGTGGAATTTGAACTCGGCTCCTCTCCGATTAATAATTCCGAACCGTTATCCATTACACTAACCGCACATACAAACCTACAGTACCTGGTATTTCCAAGCGGTCACTCATCTAGTTACTGATTAGGCTCGACGATGCTTAACTTCGGTGATCGTACAGTAACAGGTGTTTCAACGTGATGTGGCCGGAAGCCAGAGAGTTTGGAACCATTCCACATGTAAGGGTAATTCACTACATGTAAAATTTGTTTGTTTGTTTTGTTTTTGTTTTTTGTTTTTTTTTTGTTTTTGTTTTTTTGTTTTTGTCTTTTTTTGTAAACCAGAAAAAAGAAATGAAATGGAAACTTGATAAAATAAAGTGATTTTCCAAGCGTAGCTTAGATGTGGCACAAGGCCGAAATTATGGGGCAGCCAGTGGGGATCGAACTCACTACTCCGTAGTAATTGTTCTAGCGAGACAAGCTTGCTAACCATTACACCGCCTTGAGGCGCCCAACTAGATAAAATAAATGTGGGAGAAGATTTGGTAAAAAAAGTTTTAAGAAATCGACTGTGAGGAAAATTAAAACGGGGAAGGATATCGGGGCGGGGTGGTATGCAGCTCTTATTCTACTGCTAATCTAGTTTAATCCGGGTGTTACTTGTGGCAGACAGACAGAACTCACCACAAAAAAGAAAGAGATGCTAATTTTTATCTTGGGATCTTAAGTTAATCGATTTAAATTCGTGGTTGAGAATGAGTTAACAGCGACTTTTTTTCTTGTCAGTTGTGTGCGAGTTAATACATCATATACAGTATGTATGTACTGTATATAACAAGGGTGACCAAACTTACTTAATGCAAGAGTCACATACGATATAGTGTAGATTTTTGATAGCCGTAAGACATGAGCAAAATGTACACATACGCTTTTGTTACATACATATTAACATCAAACTTAAGTTTTAATCCAATGGGGTCTCCATTCATACCCAGTAAATAATTATAAAACTTGAAATTTTTCTTATTTAACTTTTATATTAACTGTGATGAAAAAAGGAATCCAGAAAACATTTTCACCGGTCGCATATTAAAGGTCAAAGAGCCGCATGTGGCTCGTGAGCTATATATATATATATATATATATATATATATATATAATATATGTGGCTCGCGAGCTATATATATATATATATATATATATATATATATATAAATGAATATCAAACATTTAAAATCCCATAGGTAATAATTTTTTCTTTCATGAAAGCTATAAAAATAGCTTTCAATCTTTCAGACCTGTAGACTTTGTAGGTTTGAAAGATTGAAAGCTATTTTTCTAACTTTCATGAAATAAAAATTATTACCTATTGGATTTTAAGTGTTTGATATTCATTAATTAATAATTTTTTTCTGTCTCTGACATGGAGCTCTTCCTGAATCTATATCCTCTTGGAAATTCGGAAATTTCATTTTATTATTATTATTATTATTATTATTATTATTATTATTATTATTATTAACAATTTCTTAAGAATTTCTTCCTCAGTACTTTAACTGTCCTTTCGTTCTTTTATTATTATTTTTTTCATGGATGCCATGTTCATTGGAGGTTTGTTTAGACCAAGAGAATATCCTTTTAGGTTTCATCCACGTGAATGAGAGTTCGATAAAAATTATATGTCACAGCGTGGACATCAGGATTTTAGAGATGATTAGGTGGGTAATGGCCAAACAAATATTGGGAACCAGAGATTTAAATTAAAGATCCAGATAGATGCATATTTCCGAATAGTTGTTAAATTCTCCTATACCCACCTGACGTCAGTAGAAGCTGACACATTTTTCTGTTTATCTAAATTATAATTATAAACCATAATTTTGAAAGTGAAAATTTCACTGAAATCTGTTAAAAAATTTCGAAATCAAGAAAATATGAACTTTAAGCAAAATGATCACAATATATGAAAAAAAAATGAAAGCATTAGCTTAAACTGACGCCAAGAGGATATGGGTTTATAAGATTGTATATTTTAATGAAATTTCATAATAAATATTGATGATATTAAAGATCTTTATCTTCCTTTTTATGTGCCATGTCCTTTCAGGATGTAGGCGATCACCTCCCTCTATCTCTTGCAGCTCTCAACAAGTTTCTTTTGTTTTCTCCTCCAGACCACATTTTATCATTCACTTGCTTAAACTCGCCAGGTATGTCACGCGTTGTTTTCCCTTGTCTCTCTTTCCCTCTATTCGACTCGTGAGTATCAGATTCTCCAGGCCCTCCTTACTCATTATATGCCCCAGAAAATTCAGCTGCCTCTTCTTGATGTTAAGTATATGCCTCCTCCTTGTTTGCAATCTCTCTAAGATCTCATCGTTGCTCACACGCTCTGTCCATGATATACTAAGCATCCTTCTGTAGAGCCACATCTCTATCGCCTCGAGTCTCTTCTTCATCATTGAGGAAATCGTCCAACATTCGCTGCCGTAAAGAAGGACAGATGTCACGTAACAGCTCAGTATTCTTTTCTTTGTTACCAAAGTAATGATTCTCTTTCGCAATACTCTGCCCAGCTTTTGGAGTGCGTCCTTGGCCAATCGAATACGTCTATGGATTTCAGTGTCGCACTTACCGTCCTCTGTCAAAACGCTTTCCAGATATTTAAACTTCCGCGTCTGCTTGATTCTAGTGTTCCCGACCTGCAAATCGCATTTCGGACTCATTCTTTTACTGATAGCTACGTAACCTTATAAATGCGTACATGTATGTATATAAAAGTTTATTTTAATATATATTAAACTAATTTCTCATTTGACAAGAGTAAATTATAGTGATGTAAAAACGGAAAGCAGTTATATTTGAAAAAACATTTAATGTACTAAACATGTCATGCGTATAATCGCTGATGTTTTTATTTTAAGAAAAAGGAACATACATGTTGAATACTGGACATTGTACATTTGTTCATTTTATGTATTTTAAAATTCTACCCTCAAAGAATATAAAATCAGGCAACAAGCCACATATTTTTTATATTTATTGATGTTATGTAATTACTCTTCAGTTTCCCGTATATGTGCCAAATATCTGATTTTGTTTGTTTTTTTGTTTTTGTTTTTTGGGGGTTTTTTTCATTTTTTTTAATCATAGGCTGGTGAATTCTAAGTTCTGACCCATTGGCAGGCCCGCTGCCAAAGTGTTTTGAGTTGGAGAAACGGCCTTTAAGTCAGGGGTCCGCGAAAAAGAATTTGCAGACGAAAATTAGTCCACATCATTTCCACAGGCAAATGATTTTCGGTGTTGGTAGCCCCCAGCACCTCCCTTAACGATGGATTTTCCCATTGGTATAATAGCAATCAATCAAAACGAATAAGTTTAAAAATGAAACAAAAATTTGTAACGGTAATAAAAGCAAAATTATTAGATTATGCTATTCCAAAATAACTGTAAAGAAAATTGATAAATTGCTATTAAGACAAGAAATATGAAGGTTCCACAGTGTGATCTTGTTTTATGAAGATCAATTTCAATTTATACATTTGTTTATTTTGAATTGTTAGTTCTGGGTATGACGATAAACTACATCCGGTAGCAAGGCCTCCGATATTGGAGGTTTTTAGGAGCGTGGAACCACCTCTTAATTGCTGTTGTTCTCACGTTCATCCTGACCAGGGGTTGTAGAACATGTTAGGGTCCCATCTATGAGAAAATACTGAAACCCCTAAACAAAAACAAAACACTAATGAAAGTATAAAAATACATTTTTATAGTAAAATTACAAGAAATACATAAATATTTAAAAATTGCCAATTTTAAAGCAAAATGACCAATAATACAATTTTTAGTAGAATTGCCAACAATACATTTTATAGCAAAATGACCAACTATACATTTTATAGTAGAATGACCAACAATACATTTTATCTAGAATTGCCTTGGAAATATATTTAGTTGGGTTCATAAAATTGTGTTTAAAATATTTAGATTTCGGCATTAAATAAACCATAGAGGTTAATATGCCGCTAAACAAAATCAACCAAAATATTTTGAATCGAGTGAAAAGAGGTGTCTGACCGTTTAATAAATACATGAAAAGCTCAAAAGAATTTTACAAATAAGCAGTTGTCCCAATTTGAAGAATCAAAATAATTCACATCTGCTCCTGAAAAGTTTCAATAATCTTATTTCAATGTATACGTAACACTGATTTATAATAGTGAAAATGTGTACGTAACACTATTTTTGTCATAGATCGGCGATGCATTTTTACACAGATTATTACCTTGATTAACTTACATTAGCTTAAAATCCACACTTTTGATAAAATGTTTAGTTCTTTCTAATGGCCAGGGTAATATTAGTCGTTTCCTTAAAAAGAAACATTCAACATTCATTGACCGAGCAGCCAATGATACTCTCGGTAGAAATTCATAAATTTTTTCTATTAAAACAAATTTTCAGAGAAATAGATTTCTCAAGTTCAGTAGCTGTTATCGTTGTTTCCACTATTAATGCGGGTTTCTTTTTAAACCTTTTCTTTGAAGTTGGGTAAACTGTCATCTTAAGTCATTATTCCCTCCTCGAGTTCAATGGGATATCCATTTTAATTACTGCTGCTGCAAGCCCTCAAGCGATTTGCTTTCTGCTACTTGGCACAGTTCTTTGTCTGTGATTCTGTAGCGCTCGTCCTTTAGTTTCAAAGAATGGTCTTTCCTAAGACATACGTAGTTCATTCGCTCATTTTAACTATTGGTCTGAGAAATGATTGTATCTTGCATAAATCCTAAATCGGGTATGTAGCCCCCAAAATAAATCACGGATTCAAATTATGTATTTATTGAATAATACACTATTTGAAAATTATTATTGTGAACTCTTGAGTTACATTTAATTTAAATATCTGGGATGTGAATCATAGAAAAGATTTCAAGTATCCACATTTTTTAATGCTCCAGTTTATCTGAGCCATTGTTTATTGTAGCGATAAATCTGGACGGAACACTAAGACATTTTTTGTGAAAATGTTGTCGCGAGGTTAATGTTTGTGGCCTTGGTGGCTATTGCTTGTGCTACGAACGTAAACACAAGATTTTTTTCTAAATTTCGATATTCAACAGGGCAAAAATTCATAAGAAAAAGCCATGAAATGAAAGGTCAGAACGTCTGTTTCCGGCAACGAAAACTTTAGATTAGATTTCTATACAGT